TTTAATATTATTATTTTTATTATTGAACTCCACAGGCCAGCGGCGCCATGAACACCAATAATCCATTTTTATGAGATTCAGACTTGAGGCGAGCGCAGGACCAGCAGCAGCAGCAGAGGAAGCAGAGGCAGGAACAAGAACAAGAGCACGAGCAGGAGCTGAAACTAAGGCAGAAGCAGCAGCAGCAGCAGCAGCAGCAGCAGCAGGAGCTCACATCATGGCTAAGGCGTTGAGATTGAACAGAGAAAAAGCCGCTGAACAAAAAGCAGAAAGTGAACCGAAATTAGTCCATTTTACGAACAATAGCTATTAACTACAAGATGTACATATATATATATATCTATATATATGTATATACATACACGTGTGTGTGCATGTGTGTGTATTTATATAGACGTATGTGCTAAATGCTGAATATGAATCCGTTTTAATGGATTAATTGATCGTACAATATATATAGAAATATATATAAATATATATATATATATTATTTTACTAAATCTCTATCATACATATATATTTATACGTCGCATTCACACATGCATATGCGCACACACACCTATATACATGTATATATAAATATATATATACATATACAATACGCGTGTAACTAAAGATTTGTATTTACCGTTTGCCTTTAGCGTCTTTAGACTTTTTACTAAACTTAACTTTCTTAACGTGCGCCACAGTTGTCGTCGCCTGTTTAGCTTAACTTAAACCACACATATATACACATGCACATATAATATACATTATATATTTATAACAAAAAAAGAGGAATGAAAAAACTACTAAAACAAAGGTATCTGTAAGCTCTAATGGGTTGCTCAGCCCATCCTCAGCCGTTGCGGTTTTAGTTTGTGTTTCGTTTGTGTTTAACTTTTTTTTTTAATTCTTGTATATTTATAAGTCGAATATTGTATACCCTTCCTTTTACGCATTATCATCGCATCATTTGCAATTCTCTCTCCCTATTCATGTTACTTCCCTTGGGTTTCTGTCAACGCGCTTGTTTCGCTGTACGAAACCCTCTTGTCAGTTATTGATTGTGTGGCCTTAATAAGATTATGAAACTGTTCATTAAAACTAACTACCATATAATATACTTACATAGTATACATTATATAAATATATATATACGAATACATATATGCTTTTGTACCTAAATTAAATGCTTCTTGTTTTAATACTTGTTAATCAACTATGATAAATAAACCACAACCAACACACACACACACACTCACACACTTAGAAGGGTTAGTTTGCTCAACACAAAGTTAAAGTTTGTTAATTGATACATATATATATATGTATGTATATCACTGTATACTTATCAACAAGTATATATGTTATGATATAGCGCATGACTAAAATGAATATCGGTATTAGTACTCATTCGGGATTATTTCAATACCTACCTTACTACCAACAAGTCCAAATAAGAAGCAAGATGAAAATTTTCCATATTTAGCCTTAACATATGACAAAAATTATCTCGAAGCCTTAAAACAAATTATTTAAATTTACAAATTTCAATAAAACTAAGAAAAAAACAAAAACAAAAAACAATTATTGATGCTGTATTCATTTATGGGCGTTACTTCTGTTTGTAAGTGAATAAAACTCTATCTAAGAAAAAGTTCTTTACCGTCCGCACTAACTAAAACTAATAGCTAGGCCAATCATCGGATTAACTACAAATCGTAGATGTTTAACATGTTTTAGAAAATGCTTGAATATACCTTGGATGCATTTCTGACCTGAGACATATATCATGGTTTATAAACTATTTAACTTGAAGTAATTTCAATAAA